AAAAAAGTGTTACGAGTGTTTTATGAGAATAATACTTGTGTGCTCTGGCGTCGATGTTATTGACAAAGTCGACCATTATTCTCTAACATGACGAGAAGAATTGGACTCGTGAGGCAGTAACATGCTGAGCACATTTTCTTCTGACAGTTCGCTTGTACACTGCCCGTAACAAAGCGTGTCTCCACGGACAGGTTGTGACAGTCAGCTGAGTTTGAAGGATGGGGCATCAGAGACATCGGGAATGCTGAGCATATGTGCTGCATTTATCGCCGCTACTTTGACCTCCGTGTCAGCTATACCACTGTGGAATAGATATTTACGATAAAGAGATAACTGTTAAGTGTATTCACTTTGCACTATATAGACATTGCAGAGAGTAATATGTCATTTGTGAACACTTGGCCAATGTTAACGACCATAAAGTAAATGTTAATAGTAAATGAAATCATATACAATAATGGAGTGCAATGTACATGTCGACCAACCAACCAACCATGTATGTACATATTGAACACTCCATAGTCCCATGTGAGGTGGGGTGAGGTGAGGTGGGGTGAGGTGAGGTGGAATGGTGTCTGTCTGTCTGTCTGTCTGTCTGTGTGTCTGTCTGTCTGCTTGTACTAGTCCGGACTAATGCTGATTTAAAAGTGCTGGCCCACTGAGATACCATGCCGCACTCAGACACAGTATAATGACTCCGACTCCTTGTTTTTGCCCCTTAATGCCGAGTGCCAGGCAGGGTAACAACAAGTACCAACGTTTAACGTATGTTGGTATGACACGGCCTGTGATCGAACCCCCGACGTTCCGCTCTCCGGGCAGACGTTCAAGACCACGAAGGCGGTCTATTTCTATGGAAACAGTTGTAATATGTGTTATTTATAAAATATGGAGTATTTGTGGAAATTCACTATTCTATAAACTGTATCTACAATGATAAATAGTCGACTCCATCGACATTTGCCGGATCACATGTAGGAACGGTTTACAATAACACATTAATGAATATGAACCAATCACCCCAAGGCATGTACGGGGTTGAAACTTTCACAACTAAACAGCCGACAACAGGACATTTGTCAAGATATTCGGTATTCAAAGACAAGCAGTTTGCATCTTGACGATATGCTGAGGACATTGTATGACATCACTGTCTACTCCCTAATCTTCTCTGTCACCGCCCTCAACCCCTTCCTGTAGTTCTCCCCACATCTAGTACGGCGTTGGCCAGCATTTGTCAACCAATATGGAGGGAATGTTGAGGTCCCGGCGAAAATGATAGTCAAAAGAAATTGAATAGAACAATGTATCAGGCGATGAACTCATTTTGAAATATTCAGTTATTCTCTGAAACGCCTCTGACTACGTGTGACAGATGTCCCTACAAGGACGTTGCTGGCACGAAGGCAGGATTCGATCATCCCAGTTTGGTGTGTGCTGCATTATGAGGTCATGCTCTCCAGAAGACTGATCTCTGAAGTGCCAGCGGGTCATAGTTTCCTGCTGACTGATGTTACTGTTGGGATGATGCAATGACCGTGTACCGAAAGCCCGTTACCTCCTACATCATGTTCAGTGTCAGCTATTTTTTGTGGTTTCTTGAAGACGCTATCAGTTGCTGACGGTCGTGCTGAACACCGTTCGGGCATTCTGTCAGAATTGTTTCAATGTTTATATGAACGAACATTCACCAATTTTATAATCAGTGTATGATATGCCACCCTACGCCTTTTGTAAACCTAAATGTCAAACGTAACAAATATATTTGGGATAACACTTTCTGAGTAAAGTACAGATTCTCGTACTTTGGCATTGTGTGTTCATAAATGTCAAACTTTTTTTTATAATATTATGTCCCTAAAGTTGTCCATTGAATGTTTTTCTTCGTCAAATTAACCCTAATTAGGATCTCTGATTTGTCAGCATTGATTGTGGAAGTACTCAAAGGGGCATACGTCTAGAATTTGGGCTTTCCGCCCTCTTTAGAAACCTTACCAAAATTTTCGAATATGTCAAGTAACTACCCAGCAACGTTATTATAATTGTATTCCTGCATAGGTTTGATCCAAAGTAAACCATGCATGTAATGAAAGGCGACTAAAATAGAATGGGTGTTCGTTCAGCTGTTGTGACTTGGTTGGTTGCTTGCCATCGTACCCCGATAGCGTGAGACGTTGTTCAGAATCGAAATAGCAATGAACCACTGGTTTGTCCAGATTAGATTATTTGCAGGCCGCTGTGATATAGCTTGAATATTGTCGAGTGCGACCTTCACTCTCTTACTCGTATTATAAAAAAAATACGATGCCATTGTAAATAACATTCAAACACCGTTGTGTCGAATTTTGTTTATCGAACTTACGGTTGTCTCGAAGTAAAAGCTTGGTCCCTGCCTGTTCCTTTTTTATTCATCATGTTCGGTTGCATGGAACCTGGGATAAGTCGAAAAATATACGAAGGTCCCTTCAACTTCGACACAACGGTGTTAACTGTACCTTCGTTCACTTTTGTCCTTACTACTTTGTTTACATCATGTGTATAAGTGAGTGAAATTGTTGTATTTTGGGAACGCGAATTTCTTATAACCGATTCTGTTTTAGCCTCAGGAAATGTTAAAAGTTTTCAAAATGTATTTTTGGTCAGATCATTAGCATATCGTGTAGTCATCTTACCTCACGCTATTCATACAGTATAGCTGTTGGACAGAACCCTTGACGTATGTTCAATTGGTAATAATCTTGTCACGCTACTTAATGCCAATAGTAGTGTGGTGATTATCCGACATAACAGAAATATCTGTGTTTCTGTAAATATTAAAATTACCCAATTTTATGATAACACAAAAATATTTTATCAAAATAGTTTATTGTTCTGTCACGCCTGATATGTACATCCATGGAAAAATCTGTAAAATTTGCAACTTGCACAAAAAGTCACAGAAAGCTATACATTAATATGTACATGTGAACAATCTTTGACACGTTGATGGAAACACAATGCGCACAGAATATTGTACAGGAAGCAGAGATTTGCGTTAAGCTTGTACCTGATACGTTTCTGTAAGAAGACCATTATGCATGTCAGTGAGCAAGAGGAAGTCAGGCTATATCTATAACTACTATATAAGTCTGAAGTATACCTTTGATAACACTGAAATACGACAAGAATTATGAATAGTGTTTTAAATGGATTTCCTTGTGTGTGAATTGATACACACCATAACACATCATAGCGGTAATATTACAACATCCATAATAAATTGGTGATAAGGGATGAAATCGACCATCTTATGATAAGAACTGATTTAAAGATTAGTTACATAAGCATGTTGTGATTAGTCTATGAAGTATTTAACATATGCTTGACGTTACCAAGCTTTCTTAGGAGTATGATATTTGCCCAGGTTGCCATTGCGCACAATCTTTTTTCGACAGATCTATAGCATTTTACAAAAAAAACATGTCATATGTGATTTTTTTAAAGTTCATTTCAAAACAACATAGCTAACACAATGTGATGACAACTCCGCTGTAGTAATTACTAAGTATCACATGCCAACATAGCATTCCACAGTCGTATACGTAGCATGAAGTTAGCTACTTCATTTCTGCACTATTGTGTTTAAGGCCATAATGCCTACGTTTATATTCAATAGCTATAACACAACCATAATGACAAAACATTGCAAATGAGAAGAGTCAAATCAACATCACAATACAATCTGTGCATGGTACTTGTGGACCTGGGCTGCGACAGTATTGCATGTGTGCCAGTGAGGAAAGTCATCACCAGAACAAAACCGAATACATATTTACAGTTGGTCAAATGCTATTGTGTTTTGACAGTCATATGTTATATAATACACATCTAAAAGCGTCTAATCACCCTACAGCAGTACTCCACTGAATACTGAATCATTGAATCATTGTTATTGACATATTAGTGTATGTGCATTGAAGCAAAAAACATAACCTGATTCGCAAACCCTACGGACGAAGAATGAGTGAGGAAAATGTTTAGGAAATTAAATTACGTTTTATTAATGAAAGTATTTCATGTCGATTTTCATTTTAAAAAAAACATTCGCTATTTGACGGGTGTGCAGGGCGACCAATCCAAATCCAACTTAACATAATACATGTGGTTGAAGATGTCATGTCATGACGTGGTACCAAAGATAAAATGTACATATGCACACACACACTACACTATATCCACAAGAGGGCATAATGATTTAGGAAACACACAAGATCCAATCCGTCATATAATTGTCTTTGAATCGCGATGATATATATAACTAAATGTTAAATCAGCAACTTAGCTGCATGACAAAGTACATGTACATTTCATATCTTGTGCAGCTGTTGGAGAATGAGCAAAGGTAACACTGTTTGTGCCCACCAACATTTCATCCATCGTTACTTTTTCAGAAAAGGATATCCACCTATCGAAGTTCTTGATTGGTATTTCTACAAATTAACATTTAAACATACTGTGGTACATTGTCAACGTTTTTGTCCGATACAACGTCTTACCATACAGACAGACGTGATATCAACGTGTTACAATCAAGCTGCACAGAATAAATATTCTCTGATATGTGATACAGTTTGACACAAAGGGAGACTACTTAATAACAGTTATATAACAGAGCCTGTGGTAATCCGTCCAGTGGCCTCGTTATGTACAAGAAACCGTGCATGGATATAGTGCCCGTGAGAAATGCCATCTTTCGTAAACGCATACACTGTTTCAAGGACTCACTAAATTCAATTATGACATCTGTAGTTTGGCTATTCAAATACTTATCCAAATATTCAACACTGCTCCCGTCAATGTTGCAGATAAATCCCTTACAGAATCTAACTCTGGAAGTTTGAATAGTACTTCCAAGAATGGCACCAGATCAAAGAAATTTATTGTACATGTCGATACTTTTGTGAGGTCACGCAAAGCTTGTAGTTGTGCCTTACAAGGATGATGTACAATGGATGTTGTATGAACCAATGCATGAGATACATACTCCTCATATGATTGCTCACATGTCACAACGTGTTCATTGCTTGCACAAGTGTTATTGAGTACATCACACACAGAACAAGAACTGTTGTTGGAATGTTTGGTATCCCTGCTTGATTGTCGTACTTTACTGAACCCGTGCCGTATACCCCTGGAAAATAGAAAAATAGTTGATTATTTGAAACTAAGTAAAAGTGTTTTTGTTCATGTGGTATTTTACTCCAGTCAGCAGTATTACAGCAACGTCATCACGGCACGTACATTAATGCGTCTGGACCAGACAAACGAGAGTTTGATACTATGGGCAACGTCACAGGCCGTTTGGGTTAAATGACACACAATCAAAGAACTCACCGAAACTGACCTCCAGATATATTTCAGTCGCATCCTAACAAGCATACAGGTCACTGAGGACCAACTGTAGCATGTATTCCCAATGAGGCCATAAAATGCACGATAAACTAGATGACTCTTTACACCAGACATCATAACATGAGCTAGTATTTAGTTGGGTTTTAAAAAAAATTTGATCAGGGTTTGGAATCTAATTTAAGAACCATTACAACATAGTTCATTCTATACATGGTGTAACTTTACAAAGTCATGTCAAAAGCCATCCCATTCCTTGCCCTGTTCCACGAATTTGCATTTCGATGCACACATCCTCCCTCACCCGTAAGACTAGCACCTGTGGGATTCTTCTTGACGGTGGTTCCACCCTTGGGTGTTTTCTTTCCACTTTTGGGTCGATTATCAACTTTAGGCCACTCCATGGGGTGTTCTTTCAAACCGTTACCGCCGAAGAAAATTGTTTGTCTGATCAGTTGTGTAGTTGTAGGTGGCGTTGTCGTCGTCGTGACGGGGAAGCTTTCTGCAACAACAAGTCAATACATAGATCAAGCCTTTGAAATTGATGAATCTGCTTCTTTTGAAGAAACGAGACTGAAGCATGTTCTATATTTAACTTAATCTTTACCGTGCATACAGTCATGGTTACATTGATCACGACAAGTTTCAGCAGGTATCTGCGGGGAAAAGAAGCTCATATTGCGATATGCTCTTATCATTATATGATAATTTAGTGGTAATTATATAATGTTATCCGTTTGTGCGTATGTGCAATTTGTAAAATAAAAGCCATATGTCCATGAATGGCGAAAAAAACCGCAAAAACAATGGATGAAGTCCTTGGACCTAGAAACCCACTGCCACTACTTCATCAACAATGGAAGGCAAGTTGCACTTGGCAATAGCAGTAATGGACCGTATCCTCTTTATGTTGAAATCTACTTCATTCAAAAAGCATGTTAAATTTTATCACTGAACCTCGTTATGGCCAAACGAAGTTTTCAATGTGATTATAAAAAACTTGTATGTGGACATGATAAAAAGCAGAATTAGCTTTACTACTTTTGAGGTCTGCTTAATAAATTCGGTATGGCTATACAGTCGGACATGTTGGACGAAAATCAAAGGCCGAAATCACAAATAGGAAACAGTGTCAGATGAATAGGTGCAGCGATTCAGGAAGAAATCTAAATCCAATGAAATCCTTTATGGGTGCCATGGCCTTAACACTGCAGTCGCATTAAGACGAAAGCGTGATTGCGGTAGCCGTTCCCTGAAGTAACAGCGCTATGAAAACACCATCCCCGTCACACTTCTTCCGCGAGAAGTCCCCGCGGTGACGTATTGGTTCTGTTTCAAATTCATGGATCGCATTCTCGTAAATTAGGAAATATATCCCCCACTGACGTTATAATCATAAATCCAAAAGGATATTTTCTTATGATTGTATCTAGTGTTTTGGTACACTGTGGCTATTGAAACACAGTACACTCATTGTAAGTAGATGTACAAATGCAAGTCCTCCTACCGTAGAGCTCCATGACTTCTGAGGCACTCCCCATGCTGTTGGAGGCCTCGCATACATAGTCCCCGAAGTCGTACTTCTGAATATTTACTATCCTCAAGCTCAGTGTAATTGTTTGTGGGCCTTCGTTGTATACATCGAGTTCGTGCTTGAAATTGGGATGCAGTTGTTCTCCATTCTTCTTCCACATAGTCACTCCGAGGGGAGAGGCGGTGATCCTACATTCCAGTATCGTTTCTCTCCGCAATTGTTGTCCGATCCGTGGCGTAAATAGATGTATTTCAGGTGGATCTAAAACCACATTGCATATGTAGGATATTTCGGCTTCTATAATGTGTTCAGAGTCACAGCCTGATACTCGTTGATGCTTACAGGGTCTGATATTGTTGTTATGATTGCTCAAATAATTTATTTATTTGGTTACAATCGGACAGAATGACATATTATCGTTTGTACAGTTCACAATCTTGGGTTGAGTTCACAGCATATACCAAGATTATTGTAAAAAACCTTTTTGTAAAAAATAGCATTGATGCTGTGAGTAAGAGTGATACTGAGAGTAAGAATAACGACACAAAAGAAATTCATGCTTCTTTACATTCTTGCGCATAATATAATGAAATCTTATTGGTAACTTATACACATTCTCAGATGAATTGCATAAATGACGATTAAATTGAAACTGAAAAACAACAGACTTACACTGGACTGTAACTTTTATCTGTCTCGTTCTGGCAGGGGGCACTGTGTTGTTCGCCACACATTCATAGGTGTCGGCACACACACGCGATATATTGCGAATCAGAAGGACTTGCCCTTCGTGACCTACTTCTGCAAAAGACGAAGTACCTTGAAGTACAGTATTCATACCAATCAGTATTCGTTTACTTAACAATCAAACCATGTGATATTTTTGTCCATGTCTGCCACTTTTAGATCTTGAGTATCGTTTAATTTATGCCCCACGTGCGTCCCTTTTAAAACTCTTCACATCTATTGCTGATTAGTGCTTTAATGTCATTTTGACGTGGTGTTTTTGTGTATTTAACTAAAATCATGAACCTGTTATTTGTTTCTCTTGGCTTTTACGATGTAACCAAAATGTGTGTCGGGATAATAAAGCATTATCTTGTCTTATCTTATCAGTATTCGTCTGGATTTAATTAGGACCCCTAGACCCTTTTTGATGTTAACTACTTTAGAATTAATATATTTCTTCCATAATCACAAAGACCTTTATCGACAATATCAAAAGAAAATCACATTATTTGGCGCAGAGCATTGAAGGGGTGTTCGATCAACTCCAGCAAAAGGTAACCCGTATCCAAAAGGATATTTAATTTACCGACTTGATGTAATCTCCATCTTAGGTGAGAACCGTATGTATTAATTACATTTATAGCTTCTAGTTTCCAAATCAAGCATTTGATGTAAATCGCTCTCTTATCACGTTAGATTATCAAGCGATGAAAGAGTTGTGCCATGATTACGACTCAGTTCTATTCAATGACCATATCAGTCATGTGTCAAGTGGTAAAATAAATTACATGTCTTCAAACATTCTCCTACTTCAGCGTCGATGATGGTGGGATGTGTGCTGTTATACGACAATGACAAACAAAACAGGTAATACAGCCAAGGTAACGGCAGGTGCTTTATACATGACCTTCCCGTCAACAGACTACAAGGAAGGTATTTACATGTGTAGACTCATGTTTGACTGTGGTGTACTTTACTTACTTTCCTTCTTTTTGCTGCTCCAGACATTGAGCCTGTACCAGGTGATGGTAGGAGTCGGTATGCCGGTGGCGTTACACATCAACTCAACGCTATCACCAGTTCTTGCTTTCACATCATCAGAATCAGAATAATCAATTATATTTGGAGGAACTGCAATTGAAACAGATCCTAATGAAGTTACGATTGACTTATTGTGATTATTGTCAACAAATACATCGTCGTGTGACATATTTTATAATAATGGATAATTGTAGTGTGCAACCATTTTGCATTAATTACACCAGACAGTGACATAATGCATACATACCTTGAACAACAAGTTTCACCCTTTTAGATCTGACTGGATCTGTGTTTATTTGACACTTGTATTCCCCACTGTCCGTCACGGACACATTCCTGATGTGGAGGTTCCAGTCACTGACAAATGGCCTTTCAACACTAATGCGCATGTCTGTTAAAACCCTTCTGTCCTTCACACTTATGACCGTCTGTATGGGATTCTGCCACAGTACCTATGGAAATACAATACAGACACAGTCAGAATCAAAATATTTCAGTCAAAAAGTGTTATCACCAATAACAACCATGAGGAAATAAATAACCAATGACAACAGTTTGATTTTATCACTAAACGTCACGATAAACCAGGCAGTGTCGTATTGTACCTCTTGACAACCGCATATGTTTTACTATATTCAGGAATTATGGCTGCGGGCTTTAAATCTGAATGAGCAGTGATGAATTGAGTGATTGCTATGGGTTAGTGAGTGAGTATGGTTTTACGCCGCTTTTAGCAATATTCCAGCAATATCACGGCGGGGGACCCCAGAAATGGGCTTCACACATTGAACCCATGTAAGGAATCGAACCCGGGTCTTCGGTGTGACGAGCAAACGCTTTAACCACTAGGCTTCCCGACATACCCTCATTGGCTATGGGATAATGTAGATCGCTTAATTGTTTTTTAAAGCTGGTTAAAATCTTATGTCACCAATGTTTGACATGGATTTGGGACATTCAGTTCAATACAATCCACAATGTACGATGATAAACATCTTTGTACATAAGTTGACGTAGAGGGGGCACAATACGCGTGAACAATGAATGGGGTATGCGTGTGTGCGTGCATGCGTGCGTGCGAACAAACGAACGAATTCAAGAACGAACGAATTGGGTTTGTGAATTAGGTGAATTGGCTTTTACATCATATATCAGTTGCCGATGACGTAGAATAAGTGGTTGTTATGACATTTGAGTCATATCCTTTGGGTATCGTCTTGTGATTTCACAATTATTGTCCACGTAATCTGTCATGTCTTAGTCGCATCATTTACGACAAACACTGAACAATGTCTCGATCAATGCTTAATTGCCCTCCGGTTTGATGGCCTAAGCAGTTGAAATTTGAAACTTAATGTCAGAGACGAATATCAATCGTTTTGTTAAGATATATGATTAATTGTCACGTTCTCTTGGCTGTAGATACATCAAATATTAACCTTTACAGGACAAATCGTGTACGATATCCGAAGTTGCAAACGTGAAATTTAGAAAAAAGCAATCTTGATAATAAGGATGGGGATATTTGTGGAATTACTGAGTGGATATGGATAATCATTCCTATCTGATTGCTGACATAATTATTAATATTTCAACTGTCATGGCATTATGGTGTTTCTTGGTAGGATTAAAGGTTTTAGCACTATATATTTAATAACATTCAAAGTCATAGACAATTATATTTCATGACAACATGTCTCATCTCGCTGATTGTGTAAAAGTAGAGACAGAGAACGTTTCAGTTAATGTGAAAATGTAAATATGTTTGTAGATTATATGGTTAGTTTGTCACTTAGCCATGTTAAGTACCTTGCAGGAAATACTTATTATTCAATGTAGACATGTAAAGAATAGTACGCACATAGAAACGTACCAGGTGCGTTAACCAGAGCTACTAACCCAGTCTTCTGTAGATTTTCTACTGAGCTTGATGTATAGATTCAAGGGTGTATCTAAAAGAACCCTTATGTCTAGAAAATACAATGTGTTATGGTGACAGTTAACATGAATTATATATCTGGTACTGGAAATGAAATTTATAATTTCCTATTCCTGAGATAATTTGCATCGAAATTACTTTTGCTTAAATTTTCTCGAAATAATATACTTGTTTCGTTAATATATAAATACACAATACTGACATTTTGAATTCTAATTTCAAAAGACATTACTTCAGTCAATAGTTTGTGAAAATTTAATGAAGATAGTTTTAACGACAACATTAACGACATGTTCGCCATCACTTGTGAGAAATTATTAATATCAAATGTGATAAATGCCTGCACCAGACAAGAGCTGGAACGGGGCTAATGAATGTAGCAAGTACATCCGTTTTACGACTTTTATTTTATATGGATGTATTACATATACTCAAAGCAGGAAAAAACAATAGTGGTTATATGCATTGATGGACAACTTATTTGTGTTGATTGAGAATTATTTTGGTTTGAGATTGATCAATGTTGAAATGTATACATAATACACCACCAGACCAGATAAGCTTGATGCCATTGATTGCATCGAAAATAAATAGTGGTCGAAAATATTTATGTGTATTGTTTTCGCCGCGATATTCAAGCTATATGTATACTGTGGCCTGTAAATAATCGAGTCTTGGCTGGACAAACCAGTGGTCAATATTTCACTATTACAAACGAGTACATAAGAAGCAGATTATAATTGACACCACCAAGTCAACACAAATCTGACATTAAGAGTTACAGGTATGGACTTGAGAAATAAGAATATGATCGCCGTTACTTTGTCCTTGGGTATAGCATTGACCCGAAGAAGAAAACGCCAATGACAAGACGTTTTCACGTTTAGTACTCTTTTTCCTCTTGATGCTTTGTATAATAAATACTGCAGTATGTCCAATCCGTCCCCGGATCGCACATTTGCCTGATATGGCGCCGCTCAAAAGCGTAGAAATACGCACAAAAACCGAGAACGTCAAGAACGAAAAATGAGATTAACGGTTGTAGAAAGCGGATAATTATACGATTTAACACGTACACGCATAGAATATTATATACATGCTTGTCCAGACAAACCACAGGAGAACGGAACCAGAAGCCGGCTCAAACTCATCTGGATGGCAAACACTTTGTACATGTATATCACGTAAAAGACCTGGCAAACGCATGCCCCGCCTACAACGGTTCATTGCTATTGTGCAAATTAAAAGGTTTGTAAGTACAATTTCAGGATACCAAATCAATATGCGTACATGGATATAATTTACTTTGAACATGCTTATAAAGTCGTCGTGACCACTTAGTTGTATCTAGATCTGACGCACTCGCGTTGTGTTTCGCGGACGGATTCGTTTAAGACATGGGTCACAAGTGAAAGTTCGCTCGTTACACCGAAGACCCGGGTTCGATTCCCGACATGGGTACAATGTGTGAAGCCCATTTCTGGTGTCCCCGGCCGTGATATTGTTGGAATATTGCTAAAAGCGGCGTAAAACCATACTCACTCACTCACTAGTGAAGGAGGAGTGTGTGTGCAGGCCGCCTTATTTAAAATATAAACGACGAGTGGGGGTATAATAAAACACTACTGGGAGAATAAACCTTGACGGGCAAAGTCCCGAGTGGTATATTTTCCCTGCAGTGTTTTATCGTACGATAAACAACGACAACGAGTCGTTTATTTCTTATATGATATATCAATATTATGTACAGCCTCTTTAAGACTGTTAATAAAGCGTACAATCGTTAAAAACATTTGCCCGTATTTAAATAATGATGACTCCCGATTGTCATATTTCTCCCACTTTTGGATGTGATGGTTCGGCCATTGCGTTTATCTACGTTGTCCAGCTACATCTACGGTGAAAAACTAACTAGACACTTCCCTCTCAAAAGTAACGTCGTCCAGTTTGCGACCTCATCAAGTTGCGAGCGCGTGTTCGAATCTCCAGAAATGACGTCATTGTAGAACAATGTTTTATCATAAAAACGACCACGCTTCGTCCTTCGTTGTCCTTTATGATGTATCGCGTAGCTATCTTACATAACCTAGTAATGGTCATGTAACTTGCATACACATAAACGAGAGGGGTAAGGATGGACCAGTCATCTGAGGAGCCCTAAATCGTTATGCATTGTTGCGTCCCTTAGTCCACAGCCCAAAGATGTTACTTACATGTTTATCTGTAATTTATTCTGAACTTCAGTTACGTTATTTACGCTACTTCGAAAAGAAGACAAATACCAGGAGACAAAAACACCATTATACTTTATTCAAATGTCTATTGATGGCCAAGTATTGACGCTGTTGGAAATATAAGTGTGTGTCAATCAGTTACATGTTTATGTATCTCAACATATTGTATTCCAATTGGCATGTGCCAAACATTTTCATTTATTACATGTTTCAGAAGCTTTAAAGGAGCAGTTTAACATCAGAACCCCGATGGCTATTAGTTATTAGGCATTGTGCTAATAATGCTCCCAAGTATGCTGAACGTGTATTCTAATACAGTAAATCAGACGTTGCAGCAGTTAAGTACTTACACTATACTGGTCAGCATAGCCTTCTGTGTATTTGGGGTCCACAGAGCATGGCAAGATGGCGGTGGAACCCGAAATGACCTTGACCGTCAGTGGTGTTTCGTCGATCACTCTATCTTCTTGAGCAATTCCTGGAAAGAGAAATGTGTGACATCGTCTACTCAGACACGGCGATATTTTGCACATTTTTAGGGGAGATGTACACATCAAAAGGTTACCGGGATCTTCAAAAATATATTTCGTTACAGTGTAAATGCAAACATGTGCATAAAGTTTTCAATCGTATTTATATATTAGTGAATACATATCTAACATACAAAAACTATGGAATTGTGTAATTTGGTTAACACAAATATACTCTTGAAGTAACATGTACTGAATTACCTAATGGAAATCTTTATCAGAGTTCAACCTGCATAAAGGTATTTTTATATCCTAAGTAGCCTGGAAATATAGCTTCGTTTTGAGCCCGATTCAAATAGGACGAGGATAAAAATAGCCGTCCAATTAAATTACTGTCACAAGCGAGAGTAACACTAGGCTAAGCTACAGATAGGAGCGATAAAAGTAGTGACGTCACTTCCGAAACGAATTGATGGCGGCGAATGGTTTTAGAGTATTTCTCAATATAGAAAAGTGCACTGGGTAATCGAGGTCGGTCGTTCTTGTGATCACTCTCAATACTTATGATGTTTTGATTAATTTTCGTTCAGTTGCATATTAAGATATTCATGATCACAAATGCCAGATACGTTACGATGGTAATTCAATAATAATTCATTATGTCTCTTCACATGAATCAAAATCAACGGCAACATCACATACCTACAAGTAACCCAAGATGAAAGTTTAGTATTGTACTGAGAAAAAGCATTTCCTTCATATAAGAATATTACCCGTAGGGGAAACAGCCCTGTGTACTCCTTGCACAACGATACAGTTACGACTTCTAACATTACTTTGTCAACGGTGAATGTCCTGGTGTCTCTTCTAATTAAACCAAAGACGTAAGTGTAATTTCTATCAAAGAGAGCTTTGATGAACAGCTAAGATGCCGATGCAATGTTTATTTTATTTAACAGGTTTATTGGTAAGCTGACGTGTCTGTCTGACAGGTTTTACGACATTGATAGGAAGGTATCATGCAACAGGATCCTATTTATTTCAATATTGTGATTTGCGTTCTTAGTGACAGTAAATTAATAAATAATACGATTTTAACAACACGTAGTCTTTCTTCGATGCTAATTGTATGATGTTGTTATATTATTAAAATTTGTCTTTCAACCTCACACAATGATGAAGTCCAAAGCGTTTGATATACACAAAGTCGCCTCGAGCGGGACATACGATTGGCAAGCTGTTCGAGACAGCGCACTTACAGCAGTTTATCAGAGCCTAATGTATATAACATTTCTGAAATAACCTCTGCGGGCATATATTGAACATAAAAAAATCAATAAGTCAACAAAAACATACAGAACTTCTAATCAATGTACTTCCTCGTCATTCACTTGTGTCAGTGGCATTTCTGTGTATCTGTCGTCAAAGAAAATGTCATGTTAAATGAAATATACTTTGAAAATTGAAACTGACATTTCGTGAAGGCTACAAGAAATTACAAATGGCTTTGTCATTTTTTCTATCAAGTTGCTTCGCTTGCTGTGGACGCACAAATGTAATATGTGATCGCTGGCATAGATGTGGTCTTTTCATATAATATAATGATGTCTGTTAAAACCAAGAAGGATGGGTCCTACTCATATGGCTCTGAAAATATTTAAAAATATGTAGGAATGTTGTCATATCATGTCAGTGATCATATATTAATAAGTCGTATATATGAAAGGTCGGTGTTCTTTTTCGTCGATCCATATTGAGTCAAGTTGCACCTGACATCCAATCACGATAGTTATTGCTGATACTATTCAAATATATGGAAGTGCCCCCCCCCCCCCCCCTCCCCCCCACCCACCCACACACACACTCATACACATATATATATATATATATATGTGTGTGTGTGCGTGCGTGTGTGTGAGTGTGCGTGCGTGCGTGCGTGCGTGCGTGCGTGCGTGCGTGCGTGCGTGCGTGCGTGCGTGCGTGCGTCTGTGTGTGTGTGTGTGTGTGTGTGCAGTGTGTGTGTCAAAACACCTTTATCCACACAAGATCTTTCGAAGTTCAACGGCTCTTCAGGTGTACTGGAAACCTTAACTTACATTGTAGTCCTAGGCGACGAACAGCAGTAGTATGTGTGGCGTCATAATGCCACTGACGCGACAGTGAAAATAGAGGGAGAAGTAAAACGTAGTCCAAGGCGACAGCCAACGTTATGTTTTTGACGTCGTAAAGCCTATGACGTCATAGTTAGTGATAATAGTGGGAGGCGTAAAAACATTATGGTGCGTGTGCACAAATATACATTTGGGGATTTTTTGAATATTATACTCTTGAATTAAGTTTAGGTTTCAAAAGCCCAATGAACGTCTGTTCTTTTTCCAGTTCTAAATGTTTGTCATTGTTAAACAATTAATATAACGGAAAGACAGTATAATGACCACTCCCGCATTCATTCATCAGTGTAATTGCTTACATTTATACAACGTACATTTGGATCTTGAATTTGTTGTCTGAGCACAGTGTTTCGGTCTTTTAGTTGCATACCAGTTTCTCCAATATAATGCTCACCACATCCCGCACATGTTAAAACATATATAACATCTTTACTGCGATTGTTCATGTTTTTTTAACATGAATATTGATTATCTTCGTAAAATTGAAATTTGCAGTCTTCAGTTATTATTGGGCAAGTTCCCCACATAGAGGTGTGTTAAATTTTGTTGTTTTTATATTTTGGGAGTATTTGGATGGACATAGAATTTGTTTGAGATTTTGAGGTTGTCTAGTGCTGCGTATAAGTTTACGCTTTGATAAACATTTTGTCCGTGTCTGTATCTGTTTCTTTTGTTTTCGTCAATGTTTCTCGTGGAATTTTCATTGCTTTATTTACAGCGTCTTTAACCACTCCACATGGATATCCATATCATATATGTGAAGACGATCTTAACTAAAAAATTGTAATTTAAAACATTTAAGTTGATATCAGATCAAGTGAACGATTTCAGTTTTATAGACAAGATACACAAATGAAAGGTTTGCGACGTGTTAAGTTCACCTTTTTATATGGCATAAGAAGTTTATGAGTGTACCACAGCTGTCTTATGAAATCGTCATGTGTTATGACCTACGTACAACGAAACACAATCAGTCATGTCACAAGCAGGTAACAACCCGATCCCAACTTTAGTCGACGCAGGCGACAAGCTTTGGGTAATGAGGTATATCCTGTCACGAAATCTCGCTGAGCAGCAATGCATTATTACAACCTGAATGAACTCATTTCGAACATCAAAATCAAATATTACAAAGATGATTGAGCATACATATATGTTGCGGTATAAAATCCACTCCTGGAACTAGCACGAGGACATATAGGTCTTGTCCTGGGATTCCTGTCCATTTCTTCTTGTATTTCAATGACACAAGTCATATTTAAATAACTGATTTCGCGAAAGTTAGATTATCTTTCTCATAGTCATTACATTATAATATTCCCTCTGTCCGTTGAATAGCCAACCACATCAGCCAGTGTTGACGCATGTTATCACCGGGCAGTCGGATCGTTACTCAATATAGATCATTGAACAACATGGCAACCGCTTCCAGTCTAGCCAATGGATAGAGTTGCATAAATAGTGTACTCATGCTAATATAAAGTAATTGCAAAGTGAGTCGATTACACAAACATAATTCACTATTCACAGTCAACAAAGCCAAATAATGGAGTATTCCGCACTTGATAATGGGCAAAACCTTGCGATATTGACTTGCGCGACTTCAAAGATTTGGCCAAATTAGGATGATCGTAAATTGAAGCATTAGGCCTTCCATACACAGTTATGAGCTACGTGAAAATAAACTCTGAATAATAACCATTGCAGTGTTAAAGAGTTCTTGAGTCTTGTTTTAAATAGCAAAAGAAATGTGTCTTTGAACATTAAGCCCATAGCTCTGCTCAAACGGATGGTTACTTCACAAAAGAGACTTGACTTTCGTCATGGTGATACTATTGACCACCACCTGCAACGCAAAAGAGGAAACCTTTTCAAGTGTTTGAGTTAAAATCGTGAGCACTATTTAATGATTTAATGAAAGGAATACACAACTGTTAAATTAAACATAATACAGCAAAAAGGTATATAAGTGAAAGCAGTTTAGAAATACGACTCGGAGGCGATAGAGATTCACTTATTGCTTGCTTATTTACAGAAATATTTTTTAAACAACACCAACACATTAGCTTTCCAGATTTCCCTATCATTATTTCCGTATGTGCGTGGATTCGAGCATATATACTGAACCGCAAAAGAAACGTCACCTCAAGTAACATTGTATGGAAAGTTGTCATTTAAATATCTGGGTAATTTTGTCAAAGTTTCTAAAATTTAACATTACCATGTCCGGAAAAATATAAATTTGATGATAAAAAACAAAGAAGATGACAATAAAACCGATCGCCCAAACGCATCACAGCAACGGCCATGATAACCTGATGCACGTGAGTTCCGTGCAAATTGAAATGCACATGCGTTCCCCAATTTCTTGCCACCAGAACGGATAAAATTCATTCGTTATTGAATTGCTACCATATGCCAAGATTGACAAGAAATCAGCGACACCAAGCCCTTGGACGATTGCAAGCTGGACAAACCGCTCGGCAAGTCGCCAATGCATTTCAAGTCCACGTAAGGACCATATACAGGCTCCAGAAACGATACCAGACCACCAACACTACAGATGAGACGTCAGGATCGTCTGATTGTGCGACAGCATCTTCAAGATCGCTTTGATTCTGCTGCGTAAACTGCTCGACAGGCCATGGGGACACAACAGCGACACATTAATGCGAACACCGTGCGTCGACGATTGACGAGCAGACACCTCCACTGTCACAGGCCACACCGAGGACCAATTCTGACACCACGTCATCGCCGGGACCGTCTACAGTGGGCAACACAGCACCAGCATTGGCGCCACCAGGAGCGGAGAAGAGTCCTCTTCTCAGACGAGA